TATTTTAATTGATTGATTTTATCCATTTGAGCGTCCTTGTTTATGCAGACCTTTGGTTTTATCATTTTAAACACAGAGGTGTGAATGACGCTACGTATGAGAAAGAATGAATGAAACATCTTCAAACAACACAATATCACAAAGTCCCACCTCACTCTATATCTTGTCTATCTCTACATTGAAAATGAATGGCTGTATGGAGTCATCACCGGATCCTATTCATTTCCATTCATTGAAATAAGTGAATATTCATATATTTAAATGCACGGCAGAATGGTGCAAGCACGTAGTGTGTGCAGTTCATCAGGACACAGCCAGCTTCTGGTTACGGCTTGAAATTCCTTTAGATTAGGTTTCCAAATGTCTAAACGGGCGGAGCGTAGTTTGTTATTCCTATGTGCAATAAGCAGCGAGGCAGTTAAAGTGAAAATGGCCATCAATTAAACGTAGTGCATGACCCATAAGCCACATATCTGCAGTAACTTAAACTCAAATGAGACTTGTATAGGATTTATCTTTGAGCAGGAGTTGAACCAGATCCAAAGAAACTAAATCATGCATCGTAAAGCCAGAAACATAGGAACACTGGCCAATAATGTATTTGTACAGCACAGCCTTGGCTTCAAAATACCATTGTCATTACTGGACAAAAGGAGGTAAATCTGGAGTAAACTGGTCCAAATGGAAAGTATGCAAGATCTTTATGTCGAGATTTTTGTGGTCATGGCGTGAAATTCTATGATTTGGTATTAAGATATAAAACTATGGAAATAATCCCCCAGTAAATAATCTCTTCTCATAATATAGACAGAATCAGTTTTGATTCACCACAAAATTTGACACATTCATGCTTATTGTGCAAGTGGACTCAGTTCAGTTCAGAAGTAAATCAAACAGTGAACGCTATTTGTTTTGTTTTTTAAAAGTTTGGAGGTGAATTTATGTAAGGGGAAGGGAACAACCCAGGATTCTCCCAGATGAGCTGGAAGAAGTCTGGCCCTCTCTGCTCGTACGGCTGCCTCTGCGACCAGGCAATGGATAAATCAGAGGAAAAAAATGTATGCATGACATTAATAAAAAAATACACAGATCCATCTCATAAGTGAAATTCATGGAAGCTCCTTAACTCCCTGATTTCTCCTTTCTGTTCTTGTGACTGTAAATCTTTGAAAAGAGCAGATCCACAAAATAAAACCAGGAACTTAACTGGCGATCTCACATACTGTAGCAGTGAGTGTGTGCAACTGAGATGGACAGTGACACCTGCACAAAATAACACCTTGAACACAACAAATCCAGCGGAGATAAAATCAAGGTCGACTATAACAAACTGGTTTATATAAAAAATGAAATTCAATGATTCAGAACCCTCTGCGACCAGTTTCTGTCTCAATACAAATACAAGCGCAGTCAGATTAAGACCCCTATGTGCTGTTTGCATACAACCATCAAAACCAGGAAGTGAAATATTTGCTCCAGATATGGTTAGCTTTACCGTGAGGCAGAACGTCGCCCAAATTTCTGAAAGTTGCGAAAGTGAGTCATTTTAATTATATGAATCTCGCTTGAAAAGAAAGGTACCAAAGAACTTTAGGCTAACAAGATACATATATTTTCCAAATGAATACAATCTTTGGATACGCATTATGTAGTAAGCATTTGCATTTAAACACATTGGAATAGTTGAGAAAAGGATCAGGGTCTTGGCACAAATAGTTTTTATTTATTTAGTGATTGGTACCACTATAGTACATACACTGCACTACACATACTGTAGTTCTATATACAAGACAAAAGCCACATTTTCACCGACCCAAATTGGCCCTACTCCGCTCACCTCAGCTCTACTCTACCTGGTTGTGTTTCCATTATGCTTTACTGTCTGGTATCATATCCTAGCAACCTCATTGAAAATTCCTTAGTAACCATGGCTTTCAGCAGCATTCTGGCCAATCACTGTCAGGGCCAAGCACGTACCAAAAAAGTACCTGGTATCAAATGTAAAAAAGTTTATTTTGTCTTCTTATGTTTAAGGCTTTTATGGTTCTTTTAATAAGACAAGAAAGTATAGAAAGCTAGTACTGCTTAATTACCTGACATGTTTGGGCGGTACATTTCCGCCTTCACCAGAGGTGACACGTGTTGCGTCCCTTATCAGCTGTTGGACCTTGCTGTGTTGTGGTCTCTGGAGAAGTGAATCCCAAGTGTGAGCCAAAATGAAAGCCCCCTCATCTCCGTTGATGGTCCGTACGCCCCGCTTCCTGATTTCAATTGCCTCTCGTATCCATCTTTTGTATTTATGTTCTTCTGTTTCTATACTATTTTTGCATTGTCCCAGTCCATGATGTGATTTTCTCTTTTGCAGTGGTCTGATGTTGCCCATTTGATGTTTTCCTGTGTTGGCAATAAACACAAAAGATGGATACGAAAGGTGATTGAAATCAGGCAATGGGGTGCACGGACCATCAACAGAGATGAGGGGGCTTTCACCTTGGCTCACACTTGGGATTCACTTCTCCAGAGACCACATAGCAGCGAGGGACGCGGTCAGTCTGACGGATCTGTGAGATCTGTCGGACTGACCGCATCTGGCAACAACAGCTGATAAGAGACGCCTCACACCATCACGTGTCACCTCTGATGAAGGCGGAAGTCTACCGCCCAAACATGTCAGATAATTAAGCAGTACTAGCTTTCTCTACTTTCTTGTCTTATTAAAAGAACCTTCAAAGCCTTACCTTGTAACAGTTAAACAGGGTTGGTGGAAAGGCCCCTAATCAAGACAGAGTAGAACTGAGTAGAGGAGGACCAAGTAGGGCTGGTGGAACTTTTCATGGTCAGCCAGAGTTCCGGCCCTGACCCTGTCTGATGCCAAATCAAGTAAAACGTGATTTGACAGTGTTTACAATCACGGTGAACACACATATCTCCTCTTTCCACATATCTTACCTTTTTAGGACGCAGGGCTGAATAAGAAACCTTGAATATTACTTAAAAAAAAAAAACACTAAAAATGAACTCAGTTGCTACAGCTGACGGTTACAGCAAATGACAAATCACTCCCTACATGACAAAAAAGATCACATTTAAGAAGAACTCATTAGGAAGAAAGCAGCCACCTCTTGAAAGTGCTTTGAGCAGACAGACACTTATTCAAGATGATTTTACTGCTGCAACTATACTATAACTACTTGGCATATACTGTTATACGGCCATTGTAAACCTTCACCCTATACTCTCCCAATACTGCCCTTTCACCCTTCAAATGGACCCATCTTTATTATACCCCACAACAATAAAAGTTAAACAAAACCAGTGTGTTTGCTCAGTCACTTGTTGCCTAATGTGCAGTGACACCATGGGGTATAACTTGTGTGGTCCCCCAGTTCAAATGTAACTACACAACTACACTTGTTTCGTAAGATTTGTTGGCTGTCGTAGCTTTTGACGTGATGCCGTGTTCTGCCAGAATACGTGCGCTCACTCAGTCATAACTTGCCCAGAGTCGCAAATCAGTCAAAAAACAAAAAAACATAACCTGTGTTTTGTGTTTGTGTGGGATGTGATTTTAAAGATGTTAGCCAAAATATATGTATGGTTTTTGTCTAATATTTCTAATTCTTGGCGTGTATGATGTTGAGTGATGGGCTAACCCCTTTAGCATGGTGTAATAGAGCCAAGTCTCACAGTGTTTAGAATCAAAACAAGAGATTTATTCTAAAGTGTCTGGATTCCAAATGCCCTCAGAATCTCCCAGCTGTAGTTGTAGTTGTGGTGATGTAGGGACAGGTTGCATGGTGAAACTCAGGAGATCACAAAACTCAAAAATAGTTGGACTTTGTTTTTAATCATATTTTTTATGTTTATGATTTATGCCTGATGTGATATTGGTTGTGATTCGCTTTGTGTTGCCTTGAGTAGGAAAAGCGGTCTACAAAACAAGTTGATGGATTGATAACACGTCCAAAACCACAATGACTGAAACAGTCATATTTTGGAAAAGGTTCAGACGAAATAATTGAATGTGAGTTTTTATGCTTTTACTAATACTAATATGGACAAATAATGGCTGTGTCTGTCAAGTCAGATGTATTCATATGTACATCTACACAATAAACAATTACTTAAACTGCGGTGAATACATTTGACTTCACTCCATATGAAAAGACACAATACTTATTTGTTCATATTGTGTCTATAAGTCTAATGTAATTCTGCATATATGTTTGCATTTACTTCTATGGCCCCTGTTGAGAATAACAAGTAAATGTTTCCAATTATGAAGTATCTAGGCAGTGTAACTTGGTAATATATCAGTAATCACAGTAGCTCAAATTACATGCATACTTAAGATCCACCCAGAAGTAGAAAATCCTCCTATATACCTTTAATGTAAATGCACAATTGCTTTGTTCTCTCACTGTTTACAATGCATTTGAGCAAAAACATAGCCTCATAGTTAATACAACAATAACAAAAACGATCTTTCTGCTCCTGAAACAACAGTATTTGAAATGAAATGAGACTGATTCAAACACTATTGGTGAACTGTACAAAAGCGACTCAAAGTAACTCAAAATTGTGTAAAAATACAAATGCATGTAAACATTGTCATCCCAGTAACAAACTTAGTAGTAGTAGAAATACATTAATTGCCCAACTCTGTCTATGGCCCTACATCTTGCCTGAGTGTGTGAGTGTGTATAGAGTGAGACTAGATAAGGCCTATTTGTGCCTGACAATACATCTTTTAGGCCTTTTGTGTTTTCTTTGGCACAACCACGTCCCCATTTAAAAGTGAAAAGCGAAGAGGCCTTTTCTGTTGATTTTGGAAGCATCCACTTTTCTTATAACACATATAACCGCTCATGTTTTATTATTGCAGCTCTGTCAGAGGAGGAATCCTGTTTCTCCCATCCCTCCTCCTCCTCCACAGATGCCCTCTTCACCCCATGCACACACACTCACGCACGAGCACGCACAAGCACACACACACTCACGTGACTTGCGGCTGGCACTCGGGGCGGTAGTTTGGGCACGGTGGCATCGCGGGCTCCTGGAACGTCTCCACGCCACTTTGCACGGCGCAGCTCACGTTCCTCTGGACCACATAGGCGCACCAGTTTCTGATGGACAGGATGTTTTAGGATTAGGGGAGAAAGGAATCATAACAGCAGCACAACTCAGTGAACTTTCGCGAAATCTCAAGTTCGAGCTGGGGGTAATAACGCGTGGACTCCTATAGTTCATTTGCGATAACCACTGGAAACGGGTTCGCTTTGACTAATTTCGGCGCATTCCTGCCTTTATCTGCATCTTATCGCCTCAAGCAGGGCTAACATTACAACTGAGGCCAATAAACGAAACGCTTGTCTGATAAGGAAAACAAAACAATGCCAACATATCAGTGCGTAAAGTTATAACTGTGGAATTTGGGGATGTTTAACGAAGCAGTTGCCTACACGCGCCAAAGAGTGAAAATGCGAAAAATGCTAATTATTACCAGATGTCAGCGCAGATCCAATGCAAAGTTCTTACCTGTTTTTGTGTCTGTGCACGGCTCCAGTGTAGGCGCTTGCTTGGAAGAGGTCATAGGACGAAGGGGAGCCGTAGGACAGCTCCAAGTTGAAAAGCAAAGTGAAAAGTGCCCAGCATCGCCAGCCGTCCATCTCCCCATGTCTGCAAGTCATGCTCCTACTCAAATAACTTAACCACTATGTCTACAAGCACGCACCTGGTTTGTTATTCTCGTGCGTAAAGCGTTCGCGTAGACCCAGCACGCATCGCTCCTCTGTGGGATACTTCAATAATAAGTTGAAGTTTGGGGAAGTCCACTCCACATCCACAGTTGACTCCCTTAAAGAATGACGTCCCGGGCCAGCGCGCTCCCACCCTCCCTCCTCCGCCTCCTAGAGTTAACGGATCAGAAAAAGAGGGAACAAAAGCCCCTTTCCTTTCTCCAAAACTTTAAACAGCCTGGGGGTCTGCCTTTCCCCCGTCAAGTTTAAAGGGGTCCATTAATTACTATTATGAAGTGGTTTGGGACACAACACATTGATCTTTGTCAGTCTGCCAGCAGCCAATATCTCTCACCTCTCCCACTAATGATGTTAACAAGCTTAAGCTCTGTCTTTGCAAGTGCTGAGGCTTCACTTGTAATTTGCATTGTGGCACAGATGGCACTGTCTGCTCTCACTTCTAGTTGGGCCTTTTTGAATTCCCCTGCATTGAGCAAACACTGTTTAAAAGCCAAACTAACAAAGGAAGTCTGTAAAAATATTGACCATACTACTTTATAGTGTTGTTCCACCACTTATACTGGGACAACATTGATGCTGTTGTAAAACATAGAAGGTTTGCAACCATTTAAAAAAAAAAAAACAAACAAACACATTATTGTTTCAAGAAAAGTGTATTTTTTCATAAGAAATAATATTTTGTAACGTGTCAGTGCTAGTCCAGATATATAACACTAAATTAGTGGATGGTTTTCTCAATATCTGATTTCTTGATAAATCCATAAAGTGAATGTGGAGAGACTCAAACAGACAAAAGAGGGAGTTATTAGAATGTTATTTATGGGTTGGTAATTAATCTGTCACTACATGAAATTACACCTAGACTCTGAAGACATTATATGCAAGAGTTACATTTATTGCGTGCTGTACATGAAATGTGAGGGCAAACAGGGCTCTGGCTGTAGGAGCAGGGGACTACTGCAGTAACCAGCCTACTATGCTACTACAACCAGTGCTAATGCTACTACAAGTACACTACAACTACTACACTATACTGCCAATAAATACCAAACGAATGATCTTGCTTTCCACCGTTACAAGCTCAGCTCACTTTCTGCACTCTAGAGTAGATCCTATTATCCCAGAGACAGAATAAAAGTCACACAACCCCTGCACAACAATTTCAATCTGCAACACTTCAGGCAGGAATCCAGTTATTTTTTTTGGTGTTATAGAAAATGAGAGCTGTCACAGATGAGAGTGAACAGAACAGTTTGGTGAAAAAAAGATCTTCTCAGCTTTCAAAGATATTTCCTCATTAAAATATGTATTTGGATTCAACTCAAGAGCTTCATCAATGGTTATAATGGTTGTGTAATCTCTCATCATGGGCATCAAGCTGTATTTCAATTATTTTTGGTGTGTTTGAGAGATCTTGGGATGAGTAATTGTGAGTCTTGAAATAGGGAGACTAACCAATGAACAAAAATATTTTTACTCTGTGTTAAAGATGTGAACACTGTACTGGACTCTAGCAGGACTAGTCATTTCTGCAGCAATGACTAATCTGAAATAAAACGCTTCAAATCAACAGTTTGAAAAAAAATCCAACTATTGAAAGTGAAATTCTTACATAATATTAATAGTACATCATACTCTATAGGGCTCTTTGGACACTATTTTTTCTGACAGTGGCTCAGTTGGTAGAGCATTGGTCTTTAAACCTAATGGTTGTGGGTTTGATCCTCCCACGACTCATGTCATCTGCTTCCACTGATGTCGGCTGTCGCATACCTGGGCAAGACACTTGACCCCACTTTGCTGAAAGACCTAGGCCATGTCTACGATGAGGAGAAGCCATCTTCCCGTGGACCCACCACCTGCAGGAGGATCAGCGAGGGACTGGCGCTATTAGACTTGGGTGGCAGCTCTGATTGCTCTGAACAATGTAAAGCGCTTTGGGTGGCCTTGGTCTGTAAAATGTGCTATATAAAAAAACAATACTTATTTACTCACTCCCGACTCAGAAATTGAATAATAAAGGGGAAGAACAAGACATGACATGACATAAAGGTAAAGGTGCACTTTATTAATCCCTGTAGGGCATTTCAATCCTCTGCATTTGACCCATCCTGATGCCACGAAGGCTTATACGTCAGGAGCAGTGGTTGCCGTAGAAACAGCGCTCGGGAACCCATCTCCAGATGTTGATGCTCGGCTTGTTCAGGAGCTGGAGGATTTAACCTGGTGAGCATGTTTTTAGTGGTAGAGGAAACCGGAGTACCCGGAGGAAACCTACGCAGGCACAGGGAGAACATGCAAACTCCACTCAGAAAGACCCTGTTCCGACCGAGATTCGAACCCAGGACCTTCTTGCTGTGCCGCCCCATAATGCATAGAATTGTAATTTATGATGTATTGTCATGTACATTTAGACTAATGAATCTCAGCAGCAGTGATCTCCCCTCTGCAAGTGTCACTGCCGGGGTCAATCCGCCAAACATGAAATCTTTCTAAATGCATTAACGTGTCTGTCTTGGTCTCTCAGATTGAAATTAGTTTTTTCTTTTCAATAGACTTTTTACCATGATCATGATCTGGTGCACTGCTTCACCTGTTGGTAAGCATTTTGAATTGCATGGATTAGTATGAAACTCTACAAATAAATGCAGCGGTCTTTATAACTGTGCTTCCGCGACAGGCCCTCTGCTCCCACCTGTAGACCCGCCCGTGGCACAGGCAGGCAGGCTTCCATTCAATTAAAAATACAGTGTACATGACAATCTGCTGGTTGCCACTGTAAAGGAAAACACACTCACACACAGATCCTGCTGCTGAAAAGTGAGTCACGGCTTGAACGCAGAACTGTAGTGAGGGAGGGAGAGGGGAGATGTACGTGTAGATATAGCAGCAGCCCCCGCCTCAGAGAGTCCGGCCTAAAATAAGACTAAGTCCTTCATCTCTCTGATCGGACGGGCGCGACGCTGGGCCGCTTACGCAACAAGTGATGGATGTCCACAGGGAGTAAGGGCTTCCATTTTATCAATGTGAGTCAGCCGGGAAATCATTAGTGCAAATAACACGTCTGTTGATATTTCTATACATTTCTTGGGAGCAACACTTTTAAAACTTCTGCCTGTTGGGATATTTCTTTATAAATCTTTCCAGTTATTGACTTGAATTTCAGCTTAAAGCCGTTTAAAGTTTGTAAAGAGTTCTCACATTTGTACTCCTAAAGCATTACCACATCCATTCAATCTAGTGATTTCCCAGGACAATACATTACTTGTACTTTACTTCAAACATTCTTAAACTTAATTATAGTGTAACAAAGACATGTTTACAGCGTTGAAAACAGTTTTTTTGTAAATGTCTTCACTATCTTTGAACAAACTCCCACCTAGAAAAAACCGGCAGACAGCCACTGCAAATAAATGGACCACAACTATTTGAAATGTAATTGTAATGTATGATGTATTGTCACGTCCATCCATTCATTTTTCCCCTTAATCCATTTCTGGGTCAGGGGTGGCAGTTAGAGCTGCACCCAATTCACATAGCACCAGCCTCTCACTGATCCTACAGCAGGTGGGGGATCCACAGGAGCCTTGATCTTCCAGCAGGGGCTTCAAGCAAAGTGGGGTTAAGTGTCTTGCCCAAGGACACAATGACAGCAGACATTAGTGAGAGTTATGAAGTAAGTCTTGTGGTGGGGTAGAACTCACAACCTTCAGAACCAAAGTCCAATGCTCTACCAACTGAGCCACTGTCGCCCCGTATTTCCATGTGCATTATTGAAATAAATATATACAAATAATAATGATAATAAAATGGAAAATGGGAGAAGTTGAAAGTTTAAATGTGAAATTTACTTGGACATGTTTTGGAATATGTATGATGTTTAAAAGTTTTGAGCTACTGTGTCTAAATATCAAAGCAAAATATGGTTGGGAAGAGATCAGTGATAACAAGAGATCTGTCTGTTTGTCTGTCTGTCTGTCAGTCTGTCTATCATCTACTTGTCTGTCTGCCTATCATTTGTCTATATACATCCATCTGTCTGTCTTTCTGTCTATCAGCTGTCTGTCTAGATCTATCTATCTATCTACATATCTATCTATCTATCTATCTATCTATCTATCTATCTATCTATCTATCTATCTATCTATCTATCTATCTATCTATCTATCTATCTATCTATCTATCTATCTATCTATCTATCTATCTATCTATATATCTATCTATATATCGTTTTAATCCGGCTTGAACATCCTGGTGATTTCCCCAACCTCTGTCCCCCTGAAGACAACTCCCCACTTACTTAAAAAAAAAGGAAAAGGAGGAAACAAACAACACATTTTTTAGTAATCATTTTCCGAGTGTCCAGAAGAGGGCAGCACAGCAGCATTAAACAGACAGATTCAGGTGTAGTCATGACGATCTCTCTCCACAGAGTTTGGCTATTTAATTATGACAGAGGCAGAAAGAGCAGCCAACTCTCCTACACCCCCATCACCGCCATGACATACTAATAATAATGTTCTAGTCGATAAAATATGTATTCTTTCCACAATCTCTGCATTTCCTGGTCTTTAAGTTTGTATAAGCTAATATACTTACGATTAACCTTTTCCAGAGGAGAGTAAAACTTATAATTGAAGTTATATATATCTATCCAATTTAAGAAAAGCATTTGCAGCTAAAGTTAACTCCAAACAAAGCAGATGTAACTAAGTCGTCTGCTATATCGGGAAGTTAATAACAGTTTATTGATTGCTTATTTATTCAAAGAGTGAAAGGAGGAAAAACTTTTATAACACATCCAACTTTATGCTCGTGCCTGTCGTAAATCTTTTATTCCGACTTGATGAATGTTTGAAGGCAGATTGTTGCCTGAGAATTAGCCTGTTTCTTTCAGACGGAGCAACATG